CCCCCTCCCTCAGGAATGCAGCCAGCTCCAGTTCCCTAAAGAGACAGGCTGAGGCTGTGGTCCCCTGTGTGCTGGGCCCATCCTAATTGAATGGTCACAGCACAGAGATTTAAATCACAGTGTCACAGGGCAGAGATTTTTGGGGAGAAACCAAGGTGGCTTTCTGCCACAGGCTGTGCCCACAGATAGACCCAATCTGCAGGAACAAGAAAAAATGGAGTCTGGCTCCCGTTAAATGGATCTGAACTTGACACCCACTATGAGTTATGTATGTCTCGTGCTATTAGCACCCCTTCCCATTTGTCCTGCTGTGGATGCTTAACTACTACCTGATCCCCCGCCTGGAGTTTCCCCCAACCACCTCTTGGCCGTTCCACTGCCAGCTCGTGTGGCCCGCTTTGACCGAAGGCTTGCTGTACGGGCTTCCTCCGGCATGGGGCCGATTGTTGGCCCAGTTGACTGAGCCATCCAAGTGCAGATCCCAGTCTTTGAGGGGTGAACAGGCGGCCATTCACAGGTTGCAGTTTAAGATACTGTTGGCTCATTCTACTAGTCCATTAGATTGCGGGTGATAGGCAATGTGATAAGTCCACAGCACTTAACGTTTTGCAGCCCACTCATAGACAGGATGGTTGCGAAAATGTGAACCATTGTCACTTTGCAGCTGTACAGGAGGTGGGTAGATGGCTAGCAGGTTTTTTAGTGCTGGACAGGTGTCCTGTGCAGTGGCCTTGGTGGAGGCCTGGGCAAACGTCATTCTGGTGACTGCTTCCACTGCTACAAACACATACTGTTGCTTTCTGGGTGTGCGGGGAACTGGGCCTATAAAGTCACATTGCCAAACTTGCCATGTTACTTTTGTGGCAGAAAGCCACCTTGGTTTCTCCCCAAAAATCTCTGCCCTGTGACACTGTGATTTAAATCTCTGTGCTGTGACCATTCAGTTAGGATGGGCCCAGCACACAGGGGACCACACCCTCAGCCTGTCTCTTTAGGGAACTGGAGCTGGCTGCATTCCTGAGGGAGGGGGAAACCTGCTCCCTCTGCTTACGTGACTTGCATCACTTACCTGGGTAAGGGG